TCATCGAATGATGAATTCACTCTATTTTGGAATTGTTTGTGCAAGATTTGGAGTGAGTATTGGATTTTTGATTAGCTCATTAGTCAATTTAAATCTTTTGAGTGATTTGGGTCTTGGAATGATGGGATTGAGTATTGGATTGGGAATTCTATTTTTCATTCTTGCTTTTACTGCTTTGGAAATTTACACACTCGTAGTTTGCAGACAAATAAGAAATATTTTCAAAACCAAGATTAGTGCCTGTGAAATAAATGAGAGCAGAGCAGATTTATCACTTTACAACATTATTGAAAGAGAGGCAGTTTCCATTTTCATTGTTTGTGAACAATTATCTCTAAGACACTTGATGTTGTTTTTACAATTTTCAATTGGGCAAAATGTGAAACATCACTCCCCCGATCATTACGGTGTGACTATTGTCAGTGATCCATTAATGGCTATTGCTTTTGTGAAATCCATTTCTCAGCAGAAATCCTTCCTTAATACTGAAATGTTGCTCATTTCAAGTGTTTTGGTCAATTACATTTGGCAAGATGATCACAGATCTCAATTTGCAAATTATCTACTGGCAAAGGCTCTTAAACATTGTCATCAAACGTTAAAGAGAGTTCTTATCACTGAAAAACAAAAAGAAATTGAAATTACACTTAACGAGCTAACCAAGACAAATATGGAAGTAAGAAACACAATTACAGAATTAGAAATTACCCTTGCTGAGCTTCGAATTGTTCATAAATCATTCTGGAAGGAAATGTTGAACGATATTCCAAACGAAACCAAACTTTCACAAATTAATAGCAGAGCTTCTGTCCTAACACTATTCTGTGACCAGAATTTCCTCAATCTTACCAAAGCTCACAGTCATGATAAGACAGTGATTCGTTTTTATGCATCCTACCTTGAGGAATTCAAATTCGATAAGGAACTATCTACTTCATTGTTTGAAGAAGCTGCTGCAATGGAAGAAGAAGAATCGAGATCAAAGAATGTCAATCATCACAATCCACAATCATATTACGAAGCAAAGAAATTCAAGAATAAGATTGTGCCCTCATCCAATGTGGAAATGTCCACCAATAATGAAGATATTAGTACTGAAAGAGATGAAAGTGGTTCAGCCCTAAATGGAAAAAGTCAATTCAATGGGAATGAGATGGATTTCGAAGGTGTCGAAAATCAAGGAATTGACAAGAAGGAAACCTTCTTCAGAACTGCCATCAATGCTCCATTCCAATCCAAACTGAGAATCTCGATCTTTCTATTCTTGTCAGTTTTGATGCATGTCTTGTTAATTGTCATTTTCATTCTGAGTATTGTTTATAATGAGAGAGTTGTTTCTACTCCTCTTGTATTGCAGAGTTGCATTCCTGGTTCAACACCTGGTGCATTACTAAGAGTTGCAAGAATGAATCAAATTTTGACTGAGGTTTACGCAAATGAAGGACAATCATGGTTAAAGAACTCGAGTAGAATGTATGAATTGAATTATTTCACATCAACCTTCAGAAATCGATATTTGGAGCATAAGGGGTATTTGGAAACATTAATTTCCAATTCACAATCAGGTAAATTTACAAGTAACATGTATAATGACTTTACAGAGAGAGCAAGTCCAATTTTAATTCCAATTTCAACAACAGATCCTAAATCGATTGAATTTGTAAACACCTTCTCAAAGAATGTTTCAATGAGTGAAGTTTCTCAAGAATTCTTGCATCATGTTGAGCAATTTTTGAACTTTGGAGAAAAGCAATACAATGAAACAACAAAGAGTTACAGTTTCATGTACATTTATTTAAATAGAAGATATTTAGCCGATAATTATCTCCAATTCTGCAAGTCATTCCAGGAAAGCGAAAGAGCCAACACTCACCAGTTGAATATTATTTTACTGGCCTATATTTTCACATCCTCCTCAGTAATGACGATGATTTACGTTATTTTCATTTTGATTTCAAGGAGTGAGATGACATGGTTCAGTAAGATCACATCTCTTTACAAGAAAATTCCAAAAGATTTTGTTGGAATAATTTATCACAAATTAGAAGAAAAGACAAAAGATGATGCCAAGCACTTGAAGAAAAATCCTCTCTTGCAACCAAAGGCCTTTTCTCTGATATTGGCACTTCTAATTGTGACAGTTTTCATGTTGTCTTCTGGTTTGATTTATTATGAAATTTCAATGAATATTTCAACTGCTTCATCTGCCATTTACAATGTTGATTTGCTGAGTGTATTTTTGAGAACAGTTCATAGAGTTACCATTAGACTGAATGAATTGTTTATTTACTTGTCATTGCCATCTGGAAAATTCATTAACAGTCCATATTTAGTTTCGAATAATTCACAATTGCAAACAATGAAAACAGAAATCAGACAATTCATTGATTTGACAGCAACCATTTATGATCAGGTTATTTATGGACAAGATGGAATAACAACACCACTCGTTGGAAAATACTCCAAATTAGATAAGATTATTACTGGTCTATCGACTTGCACCAATTCCTCAATTGACTATAATTGGAAATCTAATGGAAACAAAATTATTGGACAAAGTAATGAATTGTTAAAAGATTGTTATGGTCTTCAAAAGTACATGTCTACATTCACAATTCTTGCAGGACAAGTGAGTGAAAAGTTCTTCAATCCTTCCTATGCTTCGACACAATCTGAAGAAGCATTCGCAGAATTGTTAACATTATTTAATATGTGTGATATGGTTTATGACAAGTTTAGAGATTTTCTCACAACATTGGTCAGTTTGACATCTGTTCCTTCCATTACAATTTCAATTGTCTTGATTTTCGGTATAACTTCAATGCTCATATTACAATATATGATTTTCATCAGTTTCCAAACCTATGATCACGAAATAACCAATATGAAAGCATTCTTGAATTATCTGTCCACAGAATTCATAGAATCAAATGATGGACTCAAGAGTTTTGCCTTGTACAACTCTATTGGAACGAACTATTTGACTGGACGAAAGCTAAAACAATCCTCAGCTACAGATCAAGATTCTTTGAAGAAATTAATGAGTTCAATGGTAGATGGTGCACTATTAGCAAACGAAAGTGGAGATATCATTCTTTTCAACGGACCAGCTCAGAACATGTTCGGAAAGTCAATTTCTGATGTTCTGGGAACAAACTTTATGCATTTATTTGATGAGCACTCTGGTGAAAAGTTGTCCAACATTTTGAAAACAATCAAGAGTGAAATTGATGAAAATGTCAAACATGGAGATGTTATTGAATTGGAATGTGTTAGAAAGAATTCCACAAAGTTTCCAGCCATGGTTACTATCTTTGTTTCGAGAATTTCTGGCAGCTCTTACAAGGGAAAGAGTAACTCAATGGTTGTTTCATGCTTTATGAGAGATATCACTCCAGAGAAGAAGCAAAATTCACTTCTAGCAGAGGAGAAGAAAAATTCAGAAAATTTATTGAGAAACATCTTGCCAGATGCTGTTGCAAGCAAGTTGAAATCAGGTGAGACATTTATTGCTGAGAGATTTAGTGATATTACTTGTTTCTTTAGTGATATGGTTGGTTTTACGAAAATGTCAAGTGGAATGAATCCAAGTGAATTGGTTTTGATGTTGTCATCAATTGTGAATGGATTTGATGATTTGACAGATGTTTATTCATTGGAAAAGATCAAGACAATTGGTGATGCTTATTTTTGTGTTGGAGGTTTACATAATAATCCACAATCTGATCATCCTGAAAGAACATTGAGATTTGCAATTGATACATTTCAAGTGATTAGAAATTATAATATTGAACATCCTCAAAATCAATTGAATATTCGAGTTGGAATCAATACAGGATCAGTTGTTGCTGGTGTAATTGGAAAGAAGAAGTTTGCCTATGATTTATGGGGTGATACCATCAATACTGCTTCTCGAATGGAATCAACTTCAATGGCAGGAAGAATTCAAATTTCCAGATCAACCTATCAGAGAGTCTATGATATTGGATTTGAATTTGAACAGAGAAGTGTTGAAGTGAAAGGAAAAGGTGTTTGTGAAACCTATTTATTGAAGGATAAACATCATGCAACGTCAATAATTCCAGTAACAGAATCACAAATTCTCAAGAAGGAACAAAGCAACGAAGAAAAATTAAGCGAACAATTAGATCAATAAAATGCCAGGTTTTGAGATAATGGTGGGCTTAGAATTTAACGAAAATGGTTTGCCTTCTTGATGTGTTTTGAAGCTGAATTAGGTTAAATGTTATTACCGAGAGTCGTTTTACTTAGTTACACATGCAGCTGAGATTCATCGGTGGTGCTGGCATCGGTAGAGTCTTTCATTAAATTTGAAGTGGTTGACTTTTCATTAGAAATATTTGCGATGAGATGGAAAAATGATTGATGTTGAGGTGAAAATTTATGTCATGGCTTCTCGAAATCTACAACCACATAGCTTGGATCCTCATCCTAAAACAAATCTTGACCCAAATAAGTAACAATCTCTACAGCTCTTGCACATCCCAAAAACAGACCTGCGCCACAAAATTTTCTTTTTTTTACCCAAATTTCCTTAATAATGCCTCAACAACCTCCACAAATTACAGTTGCAAAAATGGCGCTCTTTTTCGCTAAGGCAATTAGTCATTTAAAACCAACCTTAGAAAAAAAATGGAGCCATCATCGATAGGGGGAGGATCATCAGTTTCAGGCTCCACACAAACATCCAATGCCTCTTCAAGTTCCTTGTCTGGAAACATCTTTAGAACAGTTAATGAATTTCTCACAAATTTGTACATGTCGGGAAAGTTGAGAATGAATGGTTTAACGAGACAATATACATCAATGAATAGCAGTTTGTTAGGTGCTGGTGTTTCTAGTGCTGGATTTTATGAGAGCTTTAATAGGAAACCTTCGTGGAATGTAAGGTTGTGCAGAGGTTTACTGTTTGTCTGGTTTTTGTATATCATGTGGATTGGAGTGTGGTTACCTGGATTAACTTCTCATCAGGATTATTCACAAATATATTCTTCATCATCTTCTGTTTCATCATCAAGCAATTCAGGAAATCAAACGAGTAGTATAGTAAATAATGAATTTAACACTTCACCGTTTGGATTTGAAGGAGGATGGGTATTTAGAGTATTGAATTATCCACTCACTTTATCAACAGATGCCATTCCTTATGAGGGAATAATTGCCTTGTCTGTCCTATTTACATTGATTTCATTGGTGAATATTATCTTGATGATTATTGGAATGAAGAAGAGATATGGAAATGTTTACAAATTCTTGGATAAAGTGGCGATGTGTTGGGGAATGATTGTATTATTCAGTGGACCAGTTGCCTTGTTTATTATGAGCAGTTTTATTGATTGTAATCCAAATATTAGGATTGAAATTGAGAATCAGACAGCAAGTGTTTCTGGATTGTCAAGATTTCCAACAGTTCAGTGCTATTCAGCTGATAATATAGTATTACTAGTTCTGAGTTTGATTGGAATGATGATTACATTTGTGAGTTGGGGTTTCTCTGTGTTTTTATTGCCAATCAATACACCCAATGTTGGAATTCCTTTTGTGACGAAGGATAACTTTATATTGGCACCAACCATTTGCACGATAGGATTGGAATTGTTAATCATGTTCTTGATTCCACCGAATTTCATGATGGGGAGAGCGATTGTTCATCTCATTTTGACATTTATCAACATTCCACTCATCATTTACAGTTTACCATTTTATCATCGAATGATGAATTCACTCTATTTTGGAATTGTTTGTGCAAGATTTGGAGTGAGTATTGGAGTATTGATTAGCTCATTGGTCAATTTAAATCTGTTGAGTGATTTGGGACTTGGAATGATGGGATTGAGTATTGGATTGGGAATTCTATTTTTCATTCTTGCTTTTACTGCTTTGGAGATTTACACGCTCGTTGTTTGCAGACAAATAAGAAATATTTTCAAAACCAAGATTAGTGCCTGTGAAATAACTGAGAGCAGAGCAGATTTATCCCTGTACAACATTATTGAAAGAGAGGCAGTTTCCATTTTCATTGTTTGTGAACAATTATCTCTGAGACACTTGATGTTGTTTTTACAATTTTCAATTGGGAAAAATGTGAAACATCACTCCCCCGATCATTACGGTGTGACTATTGTCAGTGATCCATTGATGGCTATTGCTTTTGTGAAATCCATTTCTCAGCAGAAATCCTTCCTTAATACTGAAATGTTGCTCATTTCAAGTGTTTTGGTCAACTACATTTGGCAAGATGATCACAGATCTCAATTTGCAAATTATCTACTAGCAAAGGCTCTTAAACATTGTCATCAAACTTTAAAGAGAGTTCTTATCACTGAAAAACAAAAAGAAATTGAAATTACACTCAACGAGCTAACCAAGACAAATATGGAAGTAAGAAACACAATTACAGAATTAGAAATAACCCTTGCTGAGCTTCGAATTGTTCATAAATCATTCTGGAAGGAAATGTTGAACGATATTCCAAACGAAACCAAACTTTCACAAATTAATAGCAGAGCTTCTGTCCTAACACTATTCTGTGACCAGAATTTCCTCAATCTTACCAAAGCTCACAGTCACGATAAGACAGTGATACGTTTTTATGCGTCCTACCTTGAGGAATTCAAATTCGATAAGGAACTATCTACTTCATTGTTTGA